GAGTTGGAGTGGAAGCGGGAGCTGGAGTGCAGGGTCATTGGAAGAGAAGGCCCTGGGTGGAGGACTTAGCATATTGATTCATGCACGAATACTGGTTGAGTTACTGTGCTAGGTGGGAATGGGCCACAGTGACACAGTCTTTGCCCTCCTGTACTTTACAGCCATACTGTGAGACTGAGGCTAACTCAGGTTAAGAAAAGTTTCCTTGATGATGGAAGACCAAATATATATATATATTTTATTTTAATTATTATTTTTTTGCTATAGGACGCGTGTGCTCGTCAGACAGAGACAGAGAGACAGAAAGCAAGAAATCACCCCCCAGGGGGGATGTCCACGCCGCAATCCCTTCTCCTCCATTCTCCTCTCGAGATCTTGGGCACGCACGCACACGTGCCCGGCGTGAGTTTTAAGCCACTGGGTCCAGGACATGAACCGGGTCGACTACATGGGAATCCAGCGACATAGCCATTATGCTATCTGCTGTTCCTGAAAGGCCAAATATTCAGGTTGGTAAAAAGAGTAGAAATGGGGAAGAGCCACTGAGGCCAAGGGAACTGGACAGGAAGCCCTGTACAAAGAAGCCCTCCATGATCAAGGAACAAGGAGAAAGATAGAAAGTGAGATAAAGAACTTTGTGTGTGTGGGAACCAGCAGTTGGCGTTAATAGTTATGTTGCTGGACTCCCATGTAGTCGACTGTGGTTTGCGTCCCGGACCCAGTGGCTTAAAACTCACGCCGGGCACGTGTGCATGCATGTCCAAGATCCTGAGAGGAGAATGGAGGAGAAGGGATTGCGGCGTGACCATCCCCTCCAGGGGGTGATTTCTCGCTTTCTGTCTCTATGTCTCTCTCTGTCTGGTGAGAGCATGCGCCCTATAGCGAAAATCTCTACCCCCACAAAAAAAAAAAAAAAAAGAACTTTGTGTGTGTGTGTGTGTCATAAAGCACATGTGTTCTCCACTAGGGATTTTTGGCATGCACGCAAATGCACTTTTTTTTTTTTTTTAAGGTTTTTGCCATAGAGTTTGTGCATCCCCCCTGAGAGAGACACAGAGAGGGGGAACATGAGAAATCACTACCTCGCAAAGGGTATGGCCATGTTGTAATCCCTTCCCTGGTCTCCTCTTGGGATTTTGGGCACACACACAAATACACCCAGCATGATTTTTAAGCTGCCAGGCCCAGGACTCTGTGGACAACCATGTAGGAGTCCAATGTCTTAACTACCATGCCATCTGTTGACCTGTGACTTTTTAAAATATATATATTTATTTTATTTTATTTACTATTATTATTATTTTTTGATTTGCTTTAGGGCCCATACGCTTATGAGAGAGAGAGAGAGAGAGAGAGAGAGAGAGAGAGACAGAAAGCTGCCAGGTCCAGGACATGAACTGTGTTTGGCTATGTAGGAGTCTAGTGCCTTAACCACCATACCACCTGCTGTCCTTAGCTCCATTACTTTTGATATAATTAAAATGTTCCTCAATTGCAACTAAAATATAATTGTTAAATCAAAAAAGAGTATAATACAGACATTACAGAATATAATATACATTTTTTTTTTAAAGAAAAGCATCTTGTATGCTTCTTGCATAGAAAGAGGAAAAAATGTAGAAGTGCAAAAGGATGGGATAGGAAAAAGGGTAAAAAAGGGGCCAGCAGGTGGTGTCATGGTTAGGAATGCTGGACTCCCACCTGGCTGACAGCAGTTCAAGTCCTGAACCTGGCGACTTGCTTTCTCACTTTCTCTTTCTCTCTCTCTCTCTCTGTCCCTTTCTGGTCAAATTAAAATAAATAAATAAATCAATGAATAAATAAACTTAAAATAATTCTTAGAAAGAAAAAAAACTGGGGTAGAGGGACCAGCAGTTAGCGTAATGGCTATGTCGCTGGACTCCCATGTAGTTGACCGTGGTTTGAGTTTTGGACCCAGTGGCTTAAACTCACGCCAGGTGCATGTGCGTACATGCCCAAGATCCTGAGAGGAGAATGGAGGAGAAGGGATTGCAGTGTGGCCATCCCCCCCGGGAGGTGATTTCTTGCTTTCTGTCTCTCTCTCTCTCTCTCTCTCTGTCTTTCTGGTG